TCTGTACTCATATGTATAAACATATTTGTATGAGAAGTTCAGTTCCAACGAACGAAATTGCTATTTAAAAAAAAAAAAATATTTAATAAAGGCTGACTCAAACAATCGCTCTAGTTTCTGCGATTAACTGGGGTTGATTCAAGTTTAGAATATCACAGAAAACGACTGTGTAGCCGAGACAAGCCCACATGCAGTCGGAGCTCATCCTGTTCAATTCTGCCATGTTTAGGTTGGCGCTGTTTTTCGGCACATTTAACTTAAAACTTAGTACTAGTTCCTGCCATAATGGAGTGGATGAATATGACGATTCTAATTGTCAATTATACGGCACATGGCAATAATAATAGTTGCTAACTTTATTTTTATTGTCTATGTTAGACATTTTGATGACCTTATGCAGATACTTGTACATACTAACAATGCGTTTCTAGTTAACACAATAAAAGCAACAAACTGAAGCTAAGAGGCTATTTAACATGCCTCTTCTACCAGCCATAAGCAGCTACTAAAGTACTATTTGTTTTTTTATATCTAGGAAAAGTATACGACGAAGATCGTTTGCCCTTTGTATCATCCTATGGGTCACAAATAGCAAGTATTAGGAAACGAAAGTGCCTTAAAGCTGATCATTTTCTTCCTGACGCAGATCTTGTGGTTGAACCTCGACCCGGGCAGTACCTCTTCCCGAAGCGATTCTATCGGTCTTCGTATTATTTACGACGCGATCGTGTCGCCATCTTGAACTCTAATGCCACATAATTATATGCATTCACTATGAATGGTGCAAATTGTTCAAAACGAATGGGTTTCAGATCTTTGCAAAACTGCTGAAGCACCATAAATCATACTCACTATCAGTTCACTTTCATGGTAGCTGTTTGCCATCTTTATAATATGAAGTAATAATACGTTCCCGCGTTCTGTTTTCCTTTCAGCAACACCATGTTCATTATTATATGCCACTAGTGTGTCGTAGACGACGATCATAAATGATGACCTGCCATCAAATTAAATAAGGGTGGGAGTCATTGTTTTGGCATTTCACTATGGTAGTATATAGCAATTTCAAAACTCTATTTAGCAATCGGCCCTCCAAGAGAAGCCTCAAAACTACTGAATTTCGTATTTTTAGCGTTTAGGCCTTCTGCAGCGTTCAATTATAGCAAATACGTTATTTCTAATGTCGTAACAATCCTACTTAGATTTTCTTCGTGAATTTATTCCACTTATTTTAGGGCTCGGCGCTTATAGTTGCAAGTTGCGTTTATATGCAAATTGAAAGAGGAGAACAAATATACCGCCTACAAAAGCTGGAGGCCATTGACTGATTGTGCTCGGCCACATAGATTTTTATGCAGGATGGAAACTGGAAATAGTTCAGCCTCAAACCGGACAATTCAGCAGTAAATAATGTTTTTTTTTTTTCTGATTTAGACGTACAGGGAGGGGTCCGTCTATTGCATTCAAATTGGTCAGCCAACTTCCCATTGCCACTTTAGTAGCTTGCTATCGGAAAGGTACCGACATTCTGTCCTTACGTCGATTCGATTTCGTCACTGCCACGCGATGCAGCTGTTCGCAGGATTCAATAGAAGCCTATTTTGCTAAGGCACGTTCAGGCTATATACACTAGGCAGCGTGCCCCGTATAACATCGTTACATCCACTCATAGAGTTATTGTATGTTTCCTTCGATGCCCTTTTCTCTATGACTGCTAACTAATTACGAGAAGCTTTCGGCTCGTCGACGCCAAAAGTGGCCGGCGGAAGTCACGAAAAGATCTTGCAGCGCTATATGGGTCGGTTGCTTCGTCAACTGTATCTCGTGCAGTCGCACGCGCGAACTACGACGTTGCTGTTGATGATGGCGACGATGGAGATCTAAGCCTGTGGTGCTTACTACAGCGACTGCAATCGATTTCGTCTGCATAGCTTGTGATTTTGTTAGGTGCGTCGGATGCTGGCGGCTTTAAACAACGACACTTTCTACTTCTCTATGCGTCAGCGTTGACCGCTGTTGACGTGACTGTCTGAACCTGCCCAAATTTAACCCGGTATCTATCCCGTGCCAGCATCCTACCAACAGTAGCAGACGCTGTCTTCATTGCCACCAGCAACGGCTGGAGGCGCAAAACGCCTAAATCGCTCTCAGGAAACCCCAGCGTCAGTCCACTAACGAAACAACAAGAGCACCGGCATCGTAATAACAAGCATCACCATCAACACCGCAATGATCATCAAATCATCATTTCACCTTCGCGGTCGTCGTTGCATTCGTTGCCGTCATCTTCGTTATCGTAACAACAACTCCAGATACAATTGAAGATCCCGGCTGAGTGTGCGCACAGCTTAACTTCTCAGTCAGTCTTGCACTCAGTCAGTGTCTGTGTGCGTCTCTGTGCGTGGGTTGTCGTGTCGTTGCCCACTGTGACGGCATCATCACGCCAGTGGTAACATGGAAGTCTATTTAATGAGACCGTTCTTCGTTCTTCCTCCGAGCTTCGTTGAAAAACTAAAACACTTTACCTAGCCGCTTGCCCAACAACGATTGGGCTGCCGCGATAGCGGTTAGCGGCGAATGATGGCGGGTGGCAGTGAAGGCTAGCGAAGCGATGACTTCGCCGACTTTATCGAGCTGAACTTCTACTGCAATTCCGTCGTTCTCGGTCCACGCGAAAACATTGGACCGCCTGTCCCGTTGTCTCCTTGCGAATCCTGATACAAAGTCTTCCGAAGACTAACACGATAACAGCCAGCGGCAGATACGCAGCCAGCCTGCCTGCAATCGTTGTTGTTCCGCCGCACGACAACAATAAAGGATCTCCTTTGAGAAGACGAAACACACACGCATGTAATCGTAATAGAAGTTTGATTATAGTGGTGATCGCGCTGGTGTTCTTAGCTATCGTGGCGGTCCGGCGACCGCTTAGTGAATGAACCCCAGTCAGTCAATCAGCGGCTCGCTATGCAAAATCGTTTTGTTGTCGGGACATTTTCACGGCTTATGATTTGTCCCTTTGCCGCTGTTAGTACTTCTACTGTTTTTTGAATTCGAACATAACGACTTAGCGAAGGAGTAATAATAAGTACGAAGGGGTGCCATTCAGGTAGTAACAGGGTCGGCTATTTAGGAGCAAGGGCCGTTTTGCTGTTGTTGCTGGAAAAGAACGGACAGCTGACTGATTAACTGGTTGGCCGGTATTTGGCGACTGTCGTAGAGGTGGAAAGGGGCACTTAGCGCCGGGCGAAAGCCGTCGGTGATTTGCAAACGATGCTGTTGACGCTCGGTAGCACTTCGAAGAGCGAGAGAAGGCTCGCTTTAATCGCCCACCGCCACACGCACCGACACGCCGCACACACGCCACTGGTAGGAGCCACAGAGTAGGCAGAACATAGAATAGGCATTGCCATAGGAGCCATGTCCTACAGTTGCGATGGACGAACAGCAGTTCTCCTTCTGAGCTGAGCGAAACAAACATGGGCTATGAACCTTGTCGTTACTCAATGTGTCTGTCATTTTATATATAATTTTATATACGATACTAACAACAGGTTGCGTGGGCTGTTGTTCTTGTCGTCTTTATTGCTTGAGCGACAAACGTCATCTTGGAATTGTCAGGTCATCTGTGATGACCATTCTCGTAGGTGAGCTATGGCAAACTTTTTCTATCACTCTGTCATTGAACGATCTGATATTAGTCAAGCAACAAGAACTACGTATAACAGAGTAACTGAACCTGGTGAGAGGGCTGGTGACATCGTCATCATGGGGGTCATAGGGTATAAACTCAACTATCCAACTTGCTTGACTGACCCTATAAGGTACAATGCATAAAATGTTTAACTCATGTATAATATATCTAGTGACCAATTAGTAGAAGTTCCTTTCGTAAAGATAATAACACTCAGCTATTCATTTTTTACTTACCATAGAAAAGTAGAGCTAACTTTAGAAAATTCTTGTTTTTATTTTCTTTACAAAGACCTTCTATCTCTATAATTGTAATGTTATTATTTTAAATGAATTGAAAGACCCTGATTGAAGTAAAATCCAAATGCAGAAAACAGTAGTACCTAACCTATCTATAAAATAAAGCTGTTCTCGACGTCCCGTGTACCCGGCCAGAATCCTCGATCGCTATCGTCACTATTACTCAGCGTCCACACAGCCGGTGCAGTTGTCGAAGCTTCATGTTGCTCGTTTAGAAGGGGCTCAGTACCGCGTTGCTGGTAGACCTACCAGAAGCAAATATACATTCTACTACTTCGTAATTGTTGAAACTATGACTCACTGTAGAATAACGGCCTGCAGCGAGGTTTTATTTACCGCAAAAATATTTATAATAATATATAATATGTACGTAATTACGATGGAAAGATTGAGTTTGTCTGCAGAACTATAAGACAAAAGGAAGAATAAGGAAGACTACAGGCAGACTTGCATTTACCACGAAGATGTTTTTGTGACGTTCCCTGCGCAAAGTCATGCCGCACGAAACAGCTAGTTCGTTTGTGTTATTTGTGTGCCATTATATTATGCATGCGCGATAGATCTGTATCAAAAAAACAAGAGAAAAAGCTATTTTTTAGTATTTAGTAGATGCCTTTTTAAAGCGTTCCATGGTTAGCGAAAGATTTAGTTGGGAAAATTTACCGCTATTTTGTTTACATTACTAGTGGCTAATATGGCTAAAAATACATACATTTCGCATTTTCCTCGTCTGCTTCGGTAAGTTGAAGCAGAGCCGCTAAACATTGGCTGCCATCATCAGTCGCCCTTTCGGATACTTTTTATTTATAAGAATTATGTAATGCTTATGTGTCATTTATGCGGTAATCGACGTCAGCGTGTCTACACGATGTATGTATAGATTATAGATTATACACTAAATAATAGCCTCTTAGAACTGTATATAGCAGGTACGAACGGTACCTACCTAACGGTAGTGTTAACCTTGCTTATACCATATAATAGTTGCTAATAATTCGATGGCCTTTTAGGTAATCCATCGCTTCAACTGACACAGAGTGGGGGTTGTCCTATCGTGGGTGACTATACTGGCATTATTCCCGGCTCAATCGGGCTCTGCGCCCGAATTGCTTCCGACTGTAATAATCCCGACATCATGTTCTATACGGTCTACAACTGTGACAACGCCACCCACATTTATGAGGGTAAGTGAGCCTTACATTTGTGTCTATGTAACCCTACAAAATGTGCTTGACCTAAAGAAACCCTTTGAACCTAACCCCTCTTGCCCTTAAATCGCAATAGCGACAAACATACCTAGGGTTGGATATAATATTGATACGCGCCGTAGTGTATTGTCCCAGCATATGGTCTAAGACTCGCCACTCTGGACTTTAGTGCTGAACGTGTTACCTCAGCTGCTTGAAGCGTACCTGTTGACGCTTAAGCGTATCTCAAGAGGCGATCGCGTTCATAATTGTAAATAATCCTGAATGGGGAACAGTGGAAATACACGTCTTAGGCCCTTCACAGCGAGCCATCACCTTTCCAATTTGCGCATTTCTAATGCAAAAACCAATGGACAAACACTACAATGTCTATTGTACAGTTCTTTATGCATGTACAACTGTTTTTGCAGAGTTGAAGGACATCCTCGGTATTGAATCGCGCCATCTGCGCTAACGCTATGTTTCCTCCGATACGTAACAGTGGTCCATTAACGACTGTGTATCCAGGAGCATCTGCTCCTACGTCGAGTGTTACGACGATTTGGTTCAGACAAAGGTCCGACTGTTGCGTTCTTTTGTCATAGGTCCCCTCGTGACTTAGCAACTCGATGGTGGGCACCATCAGGAACCCTTTTGCACCGACATTGGCTTTTTGTTCCGATATACGCGAATGCACCGTATCTGACTGCTGTCAATCCCAGGATCCTAAGTTTGGGGGCAACACGATACTGTCCAGCAGAAATCGCTTCTCCTGAGTAAACACGTACGAATTTTCGTTACGTTTCGGACCTGTACAAATTATTTTTTCACGTAGGGCTTCACGTAAAAACTGCTCAAATAGACTAGCTTTGAGTTCATCTTGCGTCACCTTCCTGCCCATAGTAAACTTGACAGTAGTGAGCTAGTTCTGGCAGCCTTGCGAGTTTATGAGCGATTGCGAACAGACGCTTATACGATCAGCCGTGGACACCCGCTGCTGTTTCCAAAGTCTTGATCCATTGCCCAGGCCTTGTAGCTAAGAAATGGTGGCTTTAGCAGTAACGCGGCTCCCTCCACATTATCTGTCGAACGCTCTCTTCAGCCTTGCGGCTTAGTCGACCACTTCCTTCATCGTCAATTTGATTAATCCCCTAAATGATTCATTCTCCTCTCGCTGTCATCAATTGTAGTAACAACGCACTAGTACCGGAACGGACGCGGTTCTCTTGTTTTCATATGATGTTTTCAGACGATGGCGACGGAAGTACATCGAATTGAAGATATTATCGGTACGCGCCCCATATATATATATATATATATAGACATACTTGTGTTGTTTTGCATAGCCCGCAGGCCACACGGAGTTGAAAAGCATCAAATATATCTGATTTTGTCACACCCTTCTATGCCGGGAAAGCCACACCCCAATTTCATTACTGCATATTTGGGCACACTGGTTTGTACAGTGCAGGCATATATCGATATAATGAATGAATTTGCAATAACTGTTACCTCTGATAACTTGTATTTTATGTCCTTGCGGCAAATCTATTTGTGGGTCGCGGACGACAAACGAAGCTCAGTGTGAAGATCCTTGTGAACGGCCACTAAGTATATCTGTGATTCTACTACCCAATGAAACTATGATGATTACTGATTTGATAAATTACTTAAAATGAATATCGAAACCATCGCTTACAGTGTCCTGTATGTTTGACGATCTGCCAACATGACGCCCTAAGTTGTGCACCTAAAGCACGTTAGACTGTTCCTAACTTAAGCAACTATAGCTAAGAACATGTCACATAGTAGTCATGATAGACGCAATTGGTTCGCTTCATTGAATTCAGATTATGTAGGGCTGAACGTGGGCGGTGCAAAGATTCACCGTTTAAACCGAGGGTTCCAAATACGTGATAGCGAGAAGCGCTCGAGTTATTGCCAGCGTCTGGTAATAACGCCTTCTAAACACCTAACAATGTAGTTATCATTTACCTCTTCGTATCGCGCTGTACATACAGCAGTTGGGCTTGGCAGGGCTTGTTTCGTCCTGTTGCGCTTTTTTTTTTTTGAATTGCGTCGATTGACAGGGAGAGGAAAAGTGAAGCTTTTCACCTCAGGTCGACGATCCATTGCCAATTGAACATTCAATCGCTTAATGGTGATTGAATTGATGCGTCGTCATCAATAGCAATAACAATAGCCGGGCTGCCGCCGCCATCATCATCATAGCTGTCAAATGGCGCAGCGAGCTAATGGCGTGTGTCTGTGCTAATCTCTTCGCATCTTCAACAACGTTCGGCCGGCGTCAATGCCGCGGCCCGCGCCCCCGTTGCCGAGCTGATCTGGCGCTTGATTTGTTTGTTGTTGGTAGTGTGATGAGGCCGTGTAGTACTATTTGCAAAAGAAGGACGCAGTGTGCGTAACACATTGTAGATCACTGCTGGTGGTATATCATTTACCCAGCTTTTCTAGATCCTTTTTACAATGGACGTTTTCTGTTCTCGTCCGTTTTCGGATCTTCGTCTTATTTATTCTACAGTCCAGAGACAACAACAAGTGCTACCTGCAGTAGTAGCTGCAGCAGTAGTTGCCTTAATAGTCGCCGTTGCTCAGAGTGAAGCGTGTGCGATAAACCCAATACGCTCCTCCGACAAACAGCAGACGTCTGTTCGTGTTGTGTCGAACTAAATCATTGTTACCCCCGTCGCGTTTTTTTTGGTCTCCTTTTTTTTTTTCCCTATTGGACGAAACCCTCTTTCACGCCAGTTTTTGCCGTTACCCTCGATGCAGTAGTAATTGTCATTCCGAACGACGACTTGCCGTGTTGAGGGAAGTCCATCTTTGCTGTCCAGGTTTTCCTATGTGTGTCGACAGTGACGGTCGATTGCGTGTGTTCTTTGCTAGTTTCTCCTATAGCATGCCAAGAGCTTCTGCTGACGCTGCGGCTATTGAATAGTAGTCGAACACACTCAGTGAGGGCTAGGCACAGAGTGATCGACGGCCAAGGTGATAGACTATTCTTGTTGTTAATGGTGCCGCTAGGGCTGATGACCGACAGAACTACGTTCCGCTATCATTAGCAAACTAGTTTTAGATGCGTTTCGTGTGGGACTCATTCTGTTCCTATCTGCAGGCCGTTTGTCATCCAAGTGAATGGCCAAGATTAGCGCTACCGTAGCGAGACGTGCTCAGTTTGGTCCTGCCTCGAATCTATCTATCTACGGACATGCATACAAATACCTGGAATCATTAGGTTTGTTTTCCTAATTCTGTTGTTGAGCCCTGCTTAGCCAATACGCACGAACGCAGAGGCGTAGTCAGCCGACTATGGCACCGCGCGCAGACCACTCAACAGTTCATCTTCTAGTTAATATTTTTCTGTGTAAACTTTTATAGGCCTAGAGCTAACTTCTTTTCTAAGGATGAAAAAAAGCATTTCCTTTCTCTGGCGTTGTACGGCAGACTTTTCAAGCGGGATTGGCAGTCTTCTTGCTGTGCGCCATTACTAGAGTTGAAATAGTTTGTGCTTTCAACGGTGCTAAGGGTAAATCGGGAGCGAATTCAGTATAGAAAGGAGGTTAGCTAGAGATCTACAGTAGCACGGAGGCGTGTTTCTGCTGTAATAATCCTAACCGGTAACAGCACCAGCAAGTACATAGACATATACACAGATCGAGTGGCCCCGAGATACAAAAATAAGCAAGAACTTGTACAAGAATGATCTTGTATGGAGGCGACGTTCAGACGCTGCTTACAGAGCAATCATCCATCTGAGCATCAAGCCGCCGTTGTCGTCAGCTCGTAACGAATAAGCCAAACACACGGAGGGGGCGGAAAGGTGGGCAGGTAAAGCAGTCAGCGAGCGAACCGGCGGAACATACGAACACTATGGAGCACGTAACGTAACCTAAATGGTCGACGCTATGTGATACAGCTCCGTTTTTGTTTATTCAGAGAGAGGAAAAACGATATATCCATTCTGAATACGACAAGCTTGTTTCCTCTACGAGACTCTATATAACACATACGGTTAGCAATAGCCCTATGTGCGTATTGACACGTCTCTGTGACCCCTAGTTAGACGTTCGTCGCCTAACAGATCCCGTACTACCTTTGCTTGGACTTCGACGCCGCCGCCGACAATTTGTGGTAATCGATCGTCTTAGTTGTAGAATCACTCTACTGCCAGCCAGCCATCCTATAGTATTTTTCCGTGTTTCTTTACGCTGGTGTCTTCTCGGTCCGTTTTTTTCTTTCTAACTCTTGAATTTTTTCGTTATCCCGTGTGATCACCACTGTATTGTCTATGCGTTTGTGTCCACATCGATCTTTGCCTGTCTTTATATTGATATTTAGATTATGTGTGTCTAGGAAAATCGAGAAGTCTCGGTGCGTATCAGAAAAACAGCCATCGCCTTCGAGTGCTTTCAGAGGCGATACGATTCGTTGGTTTTCCGTCGATCTCATCTAATTTCTACGTTCCGTGTGTCGGTTGTGCCCATTGAGTTTTTGTCATCGCTCACTAGATTCTCTAGTAGGTATCATCGCCGTCGTCGTAATAGCCGTCCCCCTAGCAGAAGTAGCAGCGGGAGTAGGATCGTTTCGGCCGCGGCAACGGCATCACCGTACTGTTCGGCGGCGGCCCGTCGTAGTACAAGTAGTCTTAGTAAAATAACCAATCGTGCTTGTAATACCTGTGTCCTATAGTTCTATTTGCGGTGTAGTAGTTAGAATAAGTAACTTTTCTGATTTCTGATCGTCGTCGTTGCTTCGTTCATTCGTTGGTTCACTACGAGTATCGGCGTTTTTTCTCGTACCACCGCGAGTGCTGCCGACGTTCTAAGAGCAACAGCGGCGGCAGCAGACGGTTCTGATGGTTAGCGACCGTAGAAAAGGCGTCATGTAGTTCTCGTCATTAGCGGCAGCAGTGTAGCTCTGAATGACGTATCGGACCTGAACGAAGTGAAACAACGATAAGTTAGTGCCGACGTTTCATGACTTCAGCCGCAACCGCCGCCGTAGCGTCAGTTCGATCGAGAAAGTGTACCATCAGCAACATGGCCGGTGGACCCATTTTTTGTTCGTTTCAGCATTTACACGTGTCGTTCGCTTCGCCTGCATCTACACGATGAAAACATTATGACGAGTATTCTGTCGTTGCGGCTGCGGTAGAGATCACCTACAGGATAAGGAAAGATTCAGAAAGACTATTGAAGGAGAACTCTAATAGATACCTGCAGCAGGAGTAAGCTTACAACAGCTAATCCCCTCACAGAGCAAAGCAGATAAAACAGCTATCAAAACAGAGTATTGCAGGTATTCGGTCGATTCTTATTGAAACGGTATTATACGAATGTAGCAGAAAGAAAAAAAGAATCAACCAGAAAGGCAGCATTTATAGCCAAACGTGGGCGCTAAGACGCCACACGTTATACCAGTTACCCAGGTACCTATTTAGTACAACACTCACCCCGATCGGTCCATCGAAAAAGTCCGTTGGCGGCTGTCATGAGTCGACTGACGCGTATGCGGGAGCAAGTTTCATGTAATTATGACGAAGATACAGCTATATGCTCAGACTCACGTACCTATGTTTTTAGCCGAAACAGCAGGTTAGAGCTCCGTCCCCCTAGAGCTACTGTGTGCTCTATTCATGAGTTCATTAGGCAAAGTCATTGATGAATGAATGATCGGTGGACACGTGTAGATCTACGGACGCTTATTCCAAAGTGACCTTGCAGCGTGAAAAAACAAAACATACAGGTGCGCCATAGCGCCAAGTGACGTTCATATCGTATAATTATGTATGCGGTTGTTTAACAATTGTCCAAGTCTTATTGGAGTGTATAAATGTCGTACCGTATGATGATACGGCATATTAGAACGCCATGTGGTGTCTATTGGTGGTTTGATGCTGCCAGTTCCTTGGACGGCCTAGTTCAACCCGTAAACGCTATTTGGTTGGAGGTAGAGAAACGAAAGCGGGAGCAAATATTCTGCCTGCTGGGGGAGCCACAGTAGGGTAGGCTTGTTTCCGCGTGAAGACACTCGTGTTCGACTGGAAAGCGTCCTTCCTCATCACGGCCTCCCGTACCGCAATATATATCATTAGCCGTAAGAGGCGACTGTTACGTTTCCCGATCGCTCTGCACACCATTTCTGTCTGGTGTATATACGCATCCGCATGTACATGTTGAACGATCCACATCCCAATGAATTCTATTGGCATGTCCTAGTCACACTTAGATGGAATACATACCGTTACCGATATATTACATGTCACCTATGTGTTATGAAAACCGTAGCTGGATAAATCTTTCGCTAGTTTTGCGTATATTCATCTAACAATCTAATTTTTGCCTATCTGCAGAACGCGAATACAAATGTCTGGGCAGCTGGGAGGAGGATGACGGAGTCACATACTCATTCACGCATCGCCGAGACGTTCATGGGTTCCAATGTTTCGTAAGTTTATCCTTTTTTAATACTAAGCTTGAAATAGAAAGAAACTACCTCATTCAGAGGCATGGTCTATGCGGGCCTTGAAGTATTAATGCGTATGTTTGTATGTGTATGTACGTTGTCGTGCACACACTTACATTCATTAGGTTTCAAGCAGAAAGGTTATAAGTTTTCGTTGGGCTCAGCATTTCTCTTTTGTCAGCCAAAATGCGAAGCTTGTCTGATCTCGTCCACTTGTGGTTCGTTTTTTAAATAGACCTGACACAAGCAGACATAGCATACGGAATCATTGTTCCGTCTCGATTTCTCTTTATTCATCGACCAAGTGTTTTTCGAGGTTCATCAATCTTCCAAAAGTCGTAGCTGACCTTATCGATTATACGCACATTCTGGGGAAGCTCTCTCCGCGTCGCAGGCGTGCCAGTTTATATGTAGTACGTATAAGCGGTAGCGTGATATTCTACAAACAATCACCTTGTAACAAAGAACGACGGTCAATAGTACGCAGAGCTGTTCGTAGTCAGCCTGCGGGTATTGCGACAGGCTAGATGAAAAGATTCCCAAGCAAACCCTCAACGGAGTTACCCAGACAGAGATCGGCACAAACTCCTCGGCCTCCGGGAAGAGGATCATGTTTCTGTAAAAGCAAGGTCGCTTACCTCTCTTTCTATTCCATTGGGCAGTAACGATAATCAAAATAGAAGCTCGATCAAGAAATTCAAGATAAACGATTGAATGAATGTGGCCCAGCGAATCGGGTTCCCGTATCAGGCCACAAGTAGCTCGTTTGTAATGTATTCATCCATCTTTCTAGAACGGCCTCTGTCAGCCTTATATAACGAATCGAATCGCGCCCTTAAAGTTAACCATTGATATTCCATCGGTTTATGCTAAGGGTTCTCTTATACACAAACTAACACATGCCGATGCTAGGTAGCGTACGAGACATGAATGAAATTTTATCTCAGTAAGGTTACTACGACAACCAAAGGAACTACTGCTTCATAAATCATCAGCCATTTCGAACATGCCTTGTAGAAGTGTGCCCTCTTAGAAACTTTCATTAGCTCATTCTTCTTTGCGACTCGCTAAATGTTGCCATTTAACTTAAAACTAGTAAGCGTCACTCGGTTAGCCTTGAGCATGCATGCAGGCTAACCGGTAGCAACGATCGTTTACTATCATATGTGTCCCTCTTTAATGGCGCATTACACCCGAGAAGTTTTTTTGGTAGATCTTGTAATGTAACCTTCTACTGTTAGGACGCCGTTAGGTGTGATATTAATTTCTAGCTGACTAATCAGGTTAAAACAAACGGCGCATACAAAAAGAAATGGCCTTACACAAGGAATTCTCGGCTGTACCTTCTATAACAGGCCTAGGTTGTTCTGTGTAGCATTGTCTCAAGGACCTGTCAAGATCTAGTGCCGAAAGAAGCCAGCAGTCTTAGGCTAGGTAGAGGAAAGAGATTTATCGCTTTTCCATATCGCTAAGATTTTCACCAGCCAGCCCATCTTATCTGACACCGAACCTATATATCTTAGACGGCCTATTTCTTCGAAATAGATTGTCTGACCTAAGCACTACCTGTCAACATTCATATTTATTAGCGTATGCAGACTTCAATTCTACTAACACATGCGCATATGTGTAAATTTACAAGTGTGCTTTTGTAAATACGAAATAAACGTTATTCTTGTTTTTATCTATGCGCGCTTTTTACCTTCTTAACAAAACCCATGAGTAGTACCACGAAGCCACGAACTAGCCAATCTAAATAAATGTATATTGTGGGTACATGTTTCAAGTGTAAGAAATACTGCGAATAAACGAGAGACAAATACGCGACTGAGTAGTGACTAAATAAGTAATAAATTTTATGCAGCATACCATAGCATATCAGGATAACTGAATGATAGAATACATGAATGGGACTCACGTAGGGTAGGGCAACGTTATTCGACCCACGTTTGCTAATTTGCAGCAATGCTGGGTTTCGACAAAATAGCTATCGGCTGTTCTGGTGAATCACCGTCGCACAAGCGGCAGTTCGGGGAACACGACCGCACCACAAGCGGCACTTCAGCGAAGCTTTGACGACCTCATCTTGAAGACAAAAAAAAATCTTTGAACAGGTAGCAATGAGAGGGGCCGTCGTAGCCGACTGAGGAAGGTATGTAAAAAGCGTGGATATAGGAAACCATAAATCTATAAAGAAAATATATTGCCTCCTACGACACACACGGGCTACGAACGACAGAGTGAAGAAAAGTCCTGCTTTTTAGAACGTAGCAGAAACGTAGCGACTTACTCTGCTATATTCAGCAGCTTAGGACTTGGCCTGATTTATCTCGTTTTGCAGCTCTACACGGGTGTGTTAACGTGCCTGATCGTGCACTATGCAAGTACCGACCATTCATATTCTCGCCAACGTGCAAAAATGACATCTCCATAATTCTGCCGTTATATTGCCGCGTCGTAGTAATACATGTATTTCCATTTGAAAGCAGCGGAAATTATCGAATGTTATAGTATGAGCAGTGGCTGTTTTACAATTGATTTAACTTTACATCAAGATAGGAAGTTTCTTCCTTTTTTTTTTCAAACATTTTTATAAGGTGTTTGTGCGAGCTGAAGTTCACAGAATTATTTGACTGTCGGACCATTTTCGATTGTGCTGAAAATTTCTGTGGCGTTTCAAGTTGTAAACCCGTTATCTATGAAGGTTTCGGTTGCTTTCATCTAGAAAAACTTAACGAATGAACAAACTTGCAGGTATAGCAAATTTTTTTGTCCTACTTTTTTCGAGTACACCTTAGAACGTTAATGGTTAGACTTCTTCTGTCGGGTTGTCTTTGCTTATTTAACGATATATCGGAAATATCGTATTGTTGTTGACTTTGTTAGTGTTTATGTCCGTCGAGGACAGCATAACCAAATGTACATATACAGAAAGGGATCAGAAGCAGTAAAAAATAATAAATTTCTAAAGGCTTGTAAAAAAAACAATAATGTATTCGATCAAAGGTATCAAAAGGGTTGAGATAATCTCCGCCACTGATGGTGCGCTATGGCCATTCTCGCTAGTGATTAGGGCTGTCCGCTACAAAAACAACAACGACTGTTGCTGCCGGTACCAACGAGTACCAATACAGTTACCCGCCGAACGTCTCAATCCGGCAACAGCAGCGTCGACAGCAGCTAAAACAATGGGAATCGAGACGTTCATCTCTACCGAGGTCACCATTTTCTCGCTTAGCCACGAGCGCCAATGTTCTTTCAAAATTGATGTTTACCGCCTGGCGCGTCAAGAACGTGTGAAAAAGACTGTGGTCTGTTTGTGTAAGAGCATCCGCTTAGTGGAGGGCTGTTACCATCCTTTTGAAGGTATGTGTGTGTGTGTGTGTGTGTGTGTATGTGTGTGAGTGTATGTATGTATGTATGAGGGCAGCCTCTGACCTGCGATCACCGACCGATCATCCCCCGTTGACGAAACTGATCGCCATCGGTCAAGCCATCACCGGCAGCCGTCCGCTGCCACAGGCATTTTCTCGTCATTCCATCTATTGTAACGTCGTTCTTGTTACACTTATTTGTAATGACTGTCCGTCCACGACGGCTATCGTTATCGCTGCTGCTGTTCATGTCGATCCTGTCGCAAGGTGATGATCCGGTAATTTGCCAAAACATCGATCGATTGATCACCTGTCGTTTTGTTGTAGATGCCTTTGGTTATAATCTTATAGATTTCAACGTGTACAAAGCTTGCTCCGATGTTGATAGTAAATTTGTCGCGTTTCATGAAACAGGGTGGCGTTTAAGCACACACGCTGCGATTCGGTACTGAACCTCACAAATCACTGCTCCTGGCGAGCAGAAAAGCACAGTAATAAAATTTTTCGAAATCCAGGACAAGCCTGCAGACGACACAAGCGGCCGAATCCTAACAACAAAACAGTAGAGAAAGCCGTAAAGCAAACACATCCCACATTCACACATACCCATTCATCGAAATGTGTAAACATCGAAAAGCATCATCTAGCAAAGATCCAATGCAGTCATTTCGATCACTGATACTTATGATGATTCTTGCGATTATTATTTCTCCTCGTTGTCCTACTTGTTTATATTCGAGCCGTTGTCGCTGCTGCTGTCGTCGTAATTCCGACGAAGAAAAAATTCGCGGCAAAGATTTACTGACCATTCAATATGGCCTTGCTCTTGGCTGGTTGATGGTCGCGCGCTGAAAGTTCAGTTAAGAACAAAAAGGGCGATTGTATTGGCCTTTCCATGCCAGTTTAATTTAGGCACAAACAGTGAGAGCAGGAACGTCCATGAAAGAGAACATTTCTATGGTGAACGTTGCTTGCTACTGACGGCGGAGATTCCGTCTAGGTGTTGAAGACCAACCCGACGCTCGACGTTTACGTTTTCCTCTCTCTACCACTCGTGCCGACGAAGCTGTATGGGGTCGTCAATAGTTATTTTAGTCGTATATACTGTAAGTACTAAATTGCTATCTACCTGTCGGTGTGGAGTAAGGGAGTGAGGCTGAACGAACATTATTAGGTTCCCTTTTGCTCGCAACATTATTCATCTAAAGGTAAATTGCCTTATGGCCGGTCTTCTGCCTCGAGCATTGCCGCCGCCTCCGTCTTTTAGAGCTTTGTTTTTGTTGTTGTTGTTGTTGTTGCTGCTGCTGTCGTGCCATATGTATATGCGCACACATTTGTCTGTGTGCGTATGCGCGGTCACTCATATACAGAAAAAAATAATAGCAGAAACCAAACGAGAGCATGGGCACAAAACTATTGACAACGACAACGACAACGGCGAAGTGAGGAAGAGAAAAACAATCACCGAAAGACAAACAGCCCACAAATTGAAATCGTGATCGAGTCAAAGTATTTGCCGATCGACAAAGAGCGACTGACCAATAAACAGACGACGAACGAATGGACGAACCCTCCAACTCTTCGTGGCAGTCGTCGCCGCCGCCGCCG